TTTCTGTGAGAGTTGGCTGTGGGTTCTGTCCCACGCTGTCTTCATTCTAAGACCCAGGCTGATGGAGCAGGCACCATCTGAAATGTTGATAGTCACCATGGCAGAAGGAAAGAGAAAGTACCTCTTTCTACTAAGGGACTGACTCTTTTCAAAAATTACACCTGGAAGTGACCCATGACCTTGGTTCACCTTTTCATTGACCACAGAAAGCCATATGAGTATGTACGGTAACTTCCAAGTGGCTTCCAAGTGGCTAAGGAAGAGCAGGAAAACGTCTGTAAGAAAAGAAACAACTTGTAACATACTTTGACATGTACTCATTCTAACGTCTTAAAATACAGCAGTATCTAACAAAGCTAACAGCATATGCCAGTGAATAATTTGGCTTTATCAAGGTAACTGCAAAATGGACAAACATCTCTTCCCTTGTCTTGTGAAAGTCATTTTGGTTATTTGCATTTTGGTTTGTCCTGTACGCACAGAACCTCTGAAAAGGGAAAGATTCGTTTAGGCAATGAGGTAGGAAAAGAGTATATTTAACTTCATATATTAGCGATGTAGCCCAACTTCTCTTCTTCCTCAAAGGGAAACTTTGTTCACAATTGAAGAGGAACGGTGTTTTCTCAAAACTTAATTTTCCTTTTCCCTCCCTCCTCCATCAGGATTCGGTGCCATTTGCAGAGTTCTGACACTAGATTGTCCCGAAAACGTTTGTGGTGCATGAGAAAGAAAAGCCCTCTTTATGCTCGGGCCCCGTATATTGACAGAGACCCTGGAGAGAGTGTACTACGTGTTTGGATGAACCTGACCCTGGGATTGGCCAGTGAGAACTAGATGGTTCTCAGCCACCTCCTCCTCCTCCAGCTCCAGCTCCCCCATCACCTCCTGCCCCTGCATCATAGTGAGGCAGCAACTACAGTGCTAGTTAGGGATTCATCAACAAATGCATAATAATGCAGATATGATTTCACATTATGGTGGCATTTGCCAACGTAAAAATTATTATAACGTCGCTATAAATTTTTCTGTAAATTTTACAAAATATGCAAAAACTGACATTTCAAGAGCTGAGATAATTTAGATTTATTAAAAAGTTGAGGCCCTTGAGATTCAGCAAAAGAGAGTTAATTTTTTTTATCTAGCTTTTAGTTGTGTGGGTCTTGTTTTTGTTTTGTTTTTCAGCTCCTTGTTTATAATTCATGGGTCAAAACTGGCCACATCTGGGCTTGACCACTTAATCCATTTTTACCCATAAATTTCTCCTGTGTCTCAGGCAGCAGATATAACTTCTCTGAATCCCAAATTTCTTATCAGAGCATGCGGCAATCATGGCCTGCTTCAAAAAGCTGACGCAAAAGCATCTGATACCTAGAAAGCATTCTAAAATGTTTCTTTGACCTAGACTGGTCCCGCTGTCTTTACAGAGCACCATTCTTAAGGACACCTCTGTCATCACTCTGCCCTCTTCACACCCACCCCCAATACACACACATACATATCTGCATGCATGTGTACACACACATACACATACACACACGCATCTTCAATGTCACAGTCATGTTGCACATCACCAAGGCCATGCTCTCTCCCAATAGACCCTTCATCAAAATCATGCTTCTCACCTGAGACACTTAGAAAACTGCTCTTCTAAAGTTGCCCCTCTTGTCTGTCACCTGCAGATAATACACCTTTTACATGAGAGATGCCATTGCAGAGCCCAGATAACCAGAGTGTGTTTGCTAGCCCTTGAGGCAGCACGGCCCTGGCATGCGAGTGCCGTGCATGAGTTTGTTATGCGTCCCTTCGAAAGAGACAGCGTGGAGCGTTACTCCAGCCCCATCCCCACAACTAGAAAGCCCTATGGAATTACAAGAGAAATCTTTATCAGAAATCAAACTCTTTTCTAAGACCTCCCCCACTTTCTCCTCAACTCTCCATTCCCCCATGGTCTGAAATAAAGCTTGGAGACCAGTTTAGATTTTAAATCTCAGCTTCAATGGAGCAAAACCTGACCTCAGCATTCCTCTCACACCAGTTGTCCTGGGTTTAATTAACGCCGCCCCTGTATGTTTAGGCAATTACTGTTGTAACACACGGGGGGGGCTGTATGCAGGGCCTCAGTCAGGGCATGACGCAGTGTTTGGCCTCCACGGCTCATACAAAGCTTGTCACCCAGCGGGAAGCACCCGTGCCACCGTCTCTAATGTGCACACTAAGTGTTTTACTATGCAATGCTACATACTGCAAACAGTAATTCCTAATGATGCCTGAATTACTCTTCTATCGTTAGGTGGCTCCTTCCTCATGGGGTCAGGGTAGCCAGCACCCTAGCCCTAAAACCTATTTCACTTCTGCGGGAACTTTCATTTTTTCCTCAGCTACTACAAACACAATCTTGCTGAACGGAGCTGAATTTTTAAGGCTGAGTTTGTGCTGTGGATTCTGATGGCTTCACGTTAGTTCAAGTCTCTGAGGACCAGTGCCAATAAATGTGAAAGGGACAACAGTAGATTGGCATACTTTTCCATTTCCACCAGGATGAAAAACTGCTATAAATTAAGTCTAACCTTAAATGTATAATCTGTCCTTGGGAAGGAGAGAGAGAGAGAGGGAAAAAAAAAAAAAAGGATATAGCATCTTCAAGCTCTCGGCAAGCCTTACGAGAAAAAATTGGTTCTAAGGGTCTCTGATCTTGTGTTTTAGTAAAATAGAACTGCACGGCTGACTGACAGTTCTGATCTAAAGCATTTACGTTTAAGTTTTGATCTCTCTGCTTTTGATTAAAACTAATGAGCTCATTTAATTCAAAATGGGAATCTCTGATAAGAGAAATAAGGTTGATGTGATTGGATTAGAGGGGCAAATTAAACTCTTAGAGCAGAAGTTTGTGCTTATATAGTGTATTAAAAAGCTGTTGGCGTATTATGGCGTGTTAGATGATGAGAAAAATTTCATAGTAATTCATATTTAATCAGAAGAAATGAAAGTACTAAATATAACATGGCTCTGCTTTTCCCTCGAGTGATAAAAAGCTGTACATTTAAAATGACATCAGATCCATGCTCTCTAAAACAAAAAAAAA